TCCATCAAATCCACGTATGCTTGAAATAGTTTCTCAAAATGTTCATTCATTTCTTCACGATTATCTGCCTCAAATGAACAATAGTAATCCACATCAGATATCCAAGTTAATAAGCCATTTCTTATTAAATGAATTAGACACACAGCATAAGATATATGAACGTCAAAATAAATTAACATAAACAAGTAAACTGCTAATTTTATGTCTAATACCAAGCCAACAGACACAACGAAGAAAAGTAAATGTCGGAAAATTAAGCTCCAATTAAACATTATCGATCGCCTATAACGTCGATAGTTGATAGTTCTGAAAACCTTTTGGATCTTCAAAATTAATTTGACATGATCTCTCCTTTGGATGATATTGACAAAGTAGAAGAAAAAGAAAGGAATCACTAGGAAAACAATGTTAGTGTTCTGAAAGTTCAAAAGGAATTGATTGGTAAATTTGGGAGCATTTTCTGCCATCAAGAATTTTATATGGTAAAAGGCAAAAAATAAGATGCCAAAAAAAGACCAGATATAGTATCGATAGCCGTGAGGTCTGATAGTATTATGTACAATAGTAAAACGCGAAAGAAACATAATGTGATGAAGAATGCGAAAAGGTAGCAATAATTTTCGAAAGTTTTTATCCAAGTAATTATCATATTTTGTGTGTTTAAAAAACATTTTCGTCAATTCACACCGTAATGAAGTCGGTTGAGAACCGAAGTGTGTCCAATTTCATTATCGATTTTTAATATTGGTGAGATGTCTTTATACATTAACATGATTTAGTTCCACAAACTGTCATTTTAATCACATGAAATTTATTACATTACATTATCTAATAAAAAGCGACCATAAAGGACTCTGCCACCAACGGATCATTGGAAAATATGACATCTAATAATAATTATAACAGTATTTGCGCCCATTTCTTCTTAACTTTAAAAATTCCCCGATATAAATTATGTTCTATGTTATACCACTACTAATTATAATTGATGATGTTTTTTTATGTAATAGGTCGGCAAATGAGCAGACGGATTACCTGATGGTAAGCAATCAACGCCGCTTATGGACACCCACAAAGGAGGAGTTACGAGTGCATTGCCGACCTTTTAGGGATTGGGGATTTGGAGATTTAGGGATTGGGGGATGGTATAGATTCGGCCTCCGGTTACCTCACTCACACGGGGAATTACAACGCCGTGATTGTTTCACGCTGGTTTTCTGTGAGGCCGTGGTATTACTCCGGTTGAGCCGTGTTAGGTTGGGTGTTGGTTACTTTTACCATTATTTTTATAATTATATCAAACGAGTAGACGCTACTGACGCTGACGCTGCATCATGATGGTAAGCAATTGGTACCACCCATGGACACCTAAAGCAATAAAGTAATTGCGAGTGCGTTTTTGGCCTTCAGTAGTTTGGAATTTTCAGGATTTATAGATTTGAGCAATTTAAATTCTGTATGAGATGATTTTAATCCTAAGACAGCTATAAATTGAATGCTAATAAATTGTATGTTATATTTTAAATTGTTCAAATTTTCTCAAAACTGAATGCTGTTCAACAGTTGCAAAATTAGTTATTTCAGGCTTCTTGAACAAAAACATACAATATCGTCTAGCTTTGAGTCTATGTCTTGGTTGTACTGCCCGGATACATACGTTGTAATATGATAAAGATGACAAAATGTGATATCATTAAATTTTCATCAATTTGTATCATAGAAAGTCTTAATAAAATAAAATCATGACAAACTGATTTATTTTCAAAACCAATTTACATTTACAAATAAAAAAATACGAAGGACTAAGATTATCTTCAAACTTAAATTTACTTTTGCAGAAAAGCAAACTGTAGAAGCACAAAAATATAGTTAAGTAGAAGTACCACAAGACCCAGTGGATGGCAGATGTCCATATAGAAGAGACCACACACACTCATTTTCCTGAACGACGTGCAATGGACGCGCAATATGTTTTTGCATAACTTCTTCTGATTGCCTGTGGACAGATTAAGACTATAAATTTTTTTGTGAGAATACGTCTCCTTTCAAATGCTATTAAATATCTTATCTTTTTTTTTATGTAACAGGTCGGCAAACGAGCAGACGGATTACCTGATGGTAAGCAATCAGCGCCGCCCATGGACACTCGCAACGGAGGAGTTACGAGTGCGTTGCCGACCTTTTAGGGATTAGGGATTTGGAGATTTAGGGATTGAGGAGAGATTGGGGAAGGGAAAAGATTGGGCCTCCGGTAACCTCACTCACACGGCGAAACACAACGCAGTGGTTATTTCACGCCGGTTTTCTGTGAGGCCGTGGTATCATTCCGGTGGAGCCGACCCATTCGTGCCGAAGCATGGCTCTCCCACACTTAATCTGATATCATTAATTCCTCCCGAAATATCTCATCATCATCAATGTGAACCGAGAGAGTTAAGGCCTTCCCCGTATTCCTTCACGCTAAGCAACCGCTGGATAATTTAATGGTTCTCCGCAACTCTGTCAATATCATCGGTCCATCTAACAGAAGACCTGCCTGCACTATGTCTGTTGGTCCGTAGTCTCCACTTAAACAATTTCCTGGCCTAAGAGCTCTTCATCTATTAATCTTCCACTTTCTTTCCCTACATCCCTCATTTCAATACAGCATTGTCTTTGATACATACCTGAACATTTCGAAGTCAAAATAATCAAACATGACTGTTGTGATGAGCTAATAGCTTTGTAAAACTTATCTAATTGGGCGCAGACCAAGATGTGGATCACAAAGTTTCTTACGATCCATAAATATAAATAGATGGACGCCAGAACATTTACATTCTGGAAAAATAAAAATAAAATATGTGAGAAAAGAAGCCATTACACTGGAAAGTATAGTTCAAATGTACATTTATCTTATATTTCCAAAAAAACATAAACGCAGATATCAAATTTCTTACCGTATAGTCGCACAATACGTACTCAATAAAAATTTGAACATTTACCAAGCATGAAAAAAACGTCTCTGCTATTTTGAAGAGCACCTAAAAAGGAAGCACGTCTTAAAGTAGTTTGGCCAGTAAAAATTTTGTCGAATCTGCGGCAACGGGTGTGGCAACTGGCGTTGGAACGATTATTCTATAGCAGACTTCAGAAACGAATGTCTTTAAATATGTAAGTATGTAGTCGCACTCTGCAGAACCGTCACATTGCTGGGAAGCATAGCATAAGCATCGATAGCCTATGATTAAATGTACATAGAACAAAGAAAGATGCATTCTTTTACTTGATGAGGACATGTCGTATTGATCCAGAAGAGCCCAAGGTTTTTCCCAAGATGGAACAGACTGGTCCGCACTCAAGCGACTCCTATGTATGTTTATGGGTATCATGCATCAATCAAAATTTGTCAGAAATGGTCATGATTTACCCCTCAAAAGAAAAATTATAATTTTTAAGTTTGAAGTCGCTAATCCTAAACCTTGAACAAGCGAGTAAATAAATGCTAAAACCTTCTTTGTATTCGAAGAGGCTTTGGCTCGTTTTAAAGCTGGTGATGGTGACGATATGATTTGATTTAACGGGAGGATTTAAGATAGCAGTTTACTGGTTTTATTTATCAGAAAACGCTGCAAGTCAAGCAGTTCCCTTTGTTGACTAATACAACACCACACTTTCAGGATGAAAAGTTAAGTCCCCTTCCTTATACTGCACGACATTCTCTGCTATGTTATGCTAAGTATATTTATACAACTTTGTTTCCATCGCCGGCTTACCATCGCGTCGCCACAGTTTTCGTAAACGTACGTATCAAATAATCACCGATATACATATGTACTACTTACTGGTAGCTGAAAGATGTTTGTCGCAAGCTTATAACATTTAAGTACATTGACATAGGCTACCAACATTTTTATAGAATACTTTCTACTGCAATCGTTGTCATCGATCTGTGCCAATTGTATATTCCAAAGAACAATTTTGTCAGTCAATAACTTCATTGCTCCTATTAGGTAAATCATGTTTGTATCATGGGATACCGAAATCAATATATAGAACAAAACATTGCAAGGAGGTTTTAAGAATGAAAAATATACGTATAAAAGTAAGAAGATGTAGTAGATGAAGATAGCGGCGACACTCAGCCAAGTTGTGATTATAAGCTTTTTGATGTTATTCACTTCGCTGATAAATCTATGCACTTCTTGGAAGTACAAAATAAAAAGTACAGCGTTATTCGTTTTAAAGAAATTAATGTAAAAATTTATCATGACTCCAGCAGATTTGGTGAAAAAGTCAAAATATGTGGCATATAAAAGCATATTGACTTTATTGTATCGTCTAAAGTTATCGTCGGATAAAATTTCCCATATGCGATGAAAGCAAACTATATTAAAAAGCACTGTCGCTCCCGTAACAATCAACTTATTTAAATTATTATTTGGATTGATTATACCATTACTAATATGACAATTAGGGTTGAGAATTATTTTTTGCATAGTATTGAGTGGTTTGAATATTTTTTGGACCTCTTTGTCTATCAAGTTGTTTAAAATACATTTATTCTTTCGACGAATTTTCGTACTATAGTTTATTTCCATAGCAGTCCTTTTGTTGTGCCTTGAAGTTGAAGTCAAAGCTCAAATGGTGCTCAATATGCTGTATTCGAAAGGCACTAAGAGATTATTTTAATAACTAATAAGAAAGGAGTGAGATTTTTATTACCTTTTACATTAATAATTCATGATTCGACAAAATCTTAATGTATTACGTATTATTGACAAAGATTAATGATAGATTTACGACGACGACTTTCAACGCCTTTTTTTGAGGTGAAAAAATCGTGTTCCAACCAGGGAGGGGCGAATAGCGTGTCTAGAACAGACAGACTGCCCTGTTCCTCCTCCTGTCCTACCTGGTTGAGGCTGGCTTCTGCCTGGGCCGTGGTACTTTATTTCGCTAGCACCTGCGATATCTAGCCGGGGTTGTTCTGCATTCACCCGGAGTGTCTCTTGCAGTGGCTAGGGCATATAGAGGATACGCAAAGAAGATGGTACTTTTCTCACGCGCTCCGCCTCCTTCTTTGCGAGCATAAGTGTTCTGGAGAAAGAGCTTGACTGCTCCACAATGCGGCCACGACTTAGACCGGGTGAGAGGTAGCCGCCGCCGATCGCTTCCCTGACAAAACAGCGGTGCTCAGACAATGGAGAGTACACCGCCGCTTTATGTTCCACCGTGACCGGTGCTGTATGTTGCGATTATCACATAATCGCATCATTCAACATTCAACATTGAGAAGTCCTTATCGGACACGATAGTTTTAGGTGGTATCTGTATCGGATCCACTTAGGGGTGGTCACACCATGATTGGGCTAAGCACTATAACATTAAACATTTCTCATTTGACTTGAAAGATTTAAGTAAACAGTAAGTTTTTGTATAGAATCGTTGATCTAAATAGTCAGTGTGTTTATTATCATAATCTATATGTCTATAAATAACAACATTATTATTCACTAAGGTTTTCACTGCATGGCTGGCGTAGTGGCTGGGCAACTGGCTGATGTGAACGTGTTGTGGGATGCACAATAACACCTTGGGTGATTTACAAATTGTAGATTCGGGTCTGGAGGGTTTGAGCATGTTAACTTTTTTTTAAGTGTGGGAGAACCAAGCTTCGGCACGAATGGGTTGCTCTACCGCAGTGATACCAGGAATCACAGAAAACTGGCGTGAAACAACCACAGCGTTGTGTTTCGCCGTGTGAGTGAGGTTACCGGCCTAATCCCTCCCTCTCCCCCATCCCTTCCCAATCCTTAAATATCTGAACCCTTACCCCATAACATAAAAAAGTGACTTTTTTCCCGACTAGGCTCACAATATTCCTAATAATTATGCTTAACCTGGTGTAACCTTAGTTCTCATGGTAAAATTCAATAAATGTAAATCACTTAGAGGCAAAGAAATATTGATTTACTACAAAACCACTCTTTACAGATTTTTCTCTTTAATAAGGCAAATTGTAGTACAACAACAAGCTGATAGCTCTAATAACATGTCTCCAAACTCTTTAGGCAAGGATTCATCTGAAGATGTGACAAGGTATCATTAAATGTCGCTTGATTTTACTTCATATTAATAGCCACAAAGAATCGTTTTATGAAACATGTGACTTAATGCTAAACTGTGGAAGCTTGAGGGCAGTTGGTATAATTCTGTAGAAATTCAAGCAAATGGGCCTACGAATGGTGCAGTATAAAAAAATCGTGAGACCTAATATACATCCTTGGGGAACTCCTTGAAATGAATTTACACAATGTTAATAAAATTAATATCCGTTTAAAAGAAAATATTTAGATTCACCGTAACGTATAATTTGTTTTTGACATCATTATCATTTTTATAAAATAGCGAATTGTAGCAAAACAACTACATATCCGAACACCAGACTAATAAACTCTTGAGCTAATTTACCGCGAAGCTGAAAAATGTAACAAGCTCTCATCGTGTAAAATCCTGCACGGTGCAATCTCTGCAGATTCTTGCAAAGCTTTTTGATTTCCGGTCTGTGTTGTATTTTGCCCAACAAATAACTGCAAGTGGCGTCAGCTTCGTAAATAGCCATATATAACTTCTCACATTGGGCACTTAGGACGACTATAAACATAGTTTTTTTTAACATCCATATTATTGTAACTATATTAATTTGGAGCAAGTGAGACTGCAACAAAATAAAGACCACAAGGCTTATTTAGGTTTCTAAATATAAATTTGATTGTAAAACATCATAAATTCTTAGCTAACTCTGAAAATTTAAATTACGCTATGTTAAGACTTACCAAATTATCTTCAGGCATACCTGCGATTTCTATTATCTTTTCAACATATAATAATATAAACGTGAATACATCTACTATCAGAATTGAAATCTGTAATAATATAAAAAAGAGTACTATAAATCAATGAAACTGGGAAAAATAAAAGATAATTTTCTAATAAATATTTGATCGATCTTACTATAAAGTGTTGTGTCCTCTTGAAGATATTAAACGCTTCCAACAAATCCACATACACTTGGAACAATAGTTTCATTTGTCTTAAAGATTCTTCTTCGCATACCCTCAAGCAAATATCACCATAGCGTTTGAAATCACAAACCCATGTTGTTACACCTTCTTTTATTAAAATCAATATGTTTAACACAACAGTTGTATGTATATCTAAATAAATGATAGTAATAGCACCAAGAATAACTTTATGATAAAATCGAATGAATGCGATTATAATGTAAACAAGAAAAATGCAATGACATAAAGCGATGGCCCAGTTCCAAAACATGATCCTATTGTAGTGCTTATAGTTTAATCCTCTAAAAGCTTTTTGTAAATTCAAAAATATTTTAACATTTTCTTGTCTTTCAATCAAACTAATAAGGTAAAAGACGAGAAGTGCAAATATCAAGAGATTTGTAACCATAAAGTTAATCATTGAAATAAAATGTTTGTAATAATCAGCTCTACAAGATGCTACCTGTCGAGTAATAAAGATAATAAAAAAACACATGAAAGAGACAACGTGGTACTGCAGGCTGTGTGATTTAATACCGTTACGGTCAACAGTGAAAGTGGACATGAAAATAAAGTGCTGCAAGCACCGGAGAGGAAGCAACATGTTTAGAAACTTTCTGTTCAAGAAATAATCATTTATTTGATTAACATGGGCCATTTTGCCGGAAAATGCAATGCTACTGAACTGTTGTTGTTACATAACGTTATCGAAATGAATTAAATTAAATAAATGTAGAAAATACCAATCAAGTTGAAAGGATTATTTTGTTTTGATGAGTATGCAGGAAGTAATCCAAGTAAGTACCACCAACATAACCATTTTTTGTATCATTCAGTCGTTTATTATAAGGTAGCAAATTGTACAAAGCAAATAATTGCAAAACCTATTGTTTTATACTACAGAGAGTTTTTTCATTTTTTAGAGAAGCGGACGTCTTAACCACCATGATTCTCAGTGTAGATCTGCTTTCACTCATATTAAAATAAATTAATTTCACGTCTATAAAAACTTTCGTTCAACACAGAAATAATTTACTTGCTTTGTCGCACTATGTTTGCAGTACATATACTGAAACAGGACTTCAAAATCAAGCGCAATAATGGGGTTACAATGTTTAAAAAAATACAGATGAAGGATACAATATAGTAGCCCCAGCTGAGCTTTGATGCAGTTATGGTGAACGGTGAAAGTGGAAAGAAAAATAGCATGTTGCATGCATCGGAGAGGCAGTGACATCTTTAAAAACTTTCTGTTGAATGAATTAATATCTGATGTTTGAGAAGCGGTATTCATAGTTGTTATAGCTGGATTCAATAATAGTGGCGTAAAATCCAGCATCAGGCAATAAGACTGATCGAGTCCAAAATTTTGTTTCTACCAGAATACCGGTAATCAGTTCGAAATGTTATGTTTTTTATTTGATTGATAGAATACATAAATCGTTTATTTTCGACCTCTGTAGGAAAATATTGATTTTTTTTGTAGGTATTAGGCATTATTGTTTAAATACCTATAGTTTTTTTTTATGTGATATGTCGGCAAACGAGCAGACGGATTACCATGGATACCCGCAACGGAGGAGTTACAAGTGCGTTGCCGACCTTTAGGCATTAGGATTTTGGAGATATCGGGAGCTTTTCACACCGGTTTTCTGTGAGGCCGTGGTATCACTCCGGTCGAGCCCACCCATTCGTGCCAAAGTATGGCTCCCCCAAATTTTCAAATTTGATTGAAAAAAAATCTAGACTTATTCCAATAAAAAGCTTGTTCAAATTTTTATCAATGACGTTATATTATATTTCATTTAAGTAACAAGAAATTGATAAAACGACGTGGCATTGAAATCCAAGATTATTACAGGAAGGCAAATTGAAGCAGCACAATTATATGTCCAAATAAAAAACAGCAGAATTTCTGGGGCAGACGTCCATCAATTGTGAAGACATGATATGCTCTCATCTTGTGGAAAGCTGCACGGTTCAACCGCAGCACGTTTTTACACAGTCTTTTCATAGCCACTGCAATAAATATTACTCGTAAATGTAGTCAAAGCTAATCATTACATTTTTAACCAAAAGGCTAATCTTCTACAAGCTTTGCATAACACCGTTGTCGTAAGCTGTGGCGTCCAATGGACTTTTAAATGGTACAAAAAGGCATCGGAAAACGAATATTTGTTTCTGACATTTTTAAAATGCCAGGAATCCTCTTTATACAGATGTTCTACCATGGTAGCTCCAAAACTGGTATACTTGAAACCAAACTAGAATTTCCTAATACATTTTAATGGTAGGCATATTGTTGATTTTATTGAAGAGAGATTTCCATATCTATTGTTGTAGTATTTGGGCAGTTCCAAGACGTACTGTTATAAGCAAAGATAAAGGGATATCGTTTTGTTAGGGAGAAATCATCAAATGGCTTCTCCCAGCCTGGGTGAGGCGAGAGGAAGTGTCAGACGCTTACTGACTGAAAACACCCCCGTGCTTTCTTCTTTTGCTCTAGACTGAGTCCGCGGTGCCGGCAACCCAAATTAAAACACTATTAGTAGATAAGTATAACACAAACTCACCAGTTTCTTGGAAACGGTTTAACAAACAGCTGCAATAAGCATCTGCATCACTGATAGTCATGTAATACTTCTCACAAAGCGTGCATAACAGAACTATGAATACTGTTCTTCTCGTTAGCCAAAAGCAGACGGCCGCCAGCCATACCATTATGTGGAACTACAAAAGGACAAAGATTGTGTGTATAGATGAATATGCAGTTATCTGTAAGACCCTTTTTACAGTTTGAGATTAACAATGAAACCACTGATCGTATTAACTTTAATGTAAACGATTCACCTGTTGATCATCCGGAATATGATATTTACAAATTTCTATCGTCTCTTGTACAAAAGATAATGAAAACAAGAATAAGTCTGCGATAAAGAAGAAATTCTGAAAATAAAATGACTGATTAAATAAAGCGGGTTAAAAACAACGTTGGAAACGATTGCACCAAAACTATAGCATTTAATTAATTAGCAAGACTTTTACAGGTTTTAGTCAGCAGATGCTTTTGATAATACGAAACAGAAATTTTTAGAAGAAAATGATGTGGGAAACGAGCTAGCGATGGGAAGCTAGTATATTGTGGCTCATCAACTTCTCAGACAAACATCCAGTCACGCAAATCAAATGGATCCTAATCACGAAAACTTTGAACAAAACAAACTGACTTACTAAAAATTGATGGATGCCCTTGAATAATTCGAATGCTTTCATCAGATCTAGATATACTTGAAACATTATTTTCATACGTTCATTATACTTTTCTTCCTCATATTCAACATGTTTGCTGTAGTAGTTCACTTCAGATATCCACGTTAGGACTCCTTCCCTTATCAAATGTATCAGTTGCATGGTTATAGTAATTTGTATATCTAAGCTCATAAAACTTATCGCTATGAAAATCTTATTTATTTTGAGGAAAGCAAATATAATAAAGAACAAAAATATCACATGACAAGAAACGACGATCCAGTTACATATAGTGGTTCTCGAGTAGTGTTTATAGTTTAATTCTTTAAAGGACCTTTGTATCATCCACAACATAACAACATGATCTTGTCTTTTAATAAAATTTAAAAAGAAAAAGGTGATATTCACTACCAGCCATAAATGAGGTACATTTTTATTGATGATTCTAATAACCAAACTAAAATGTTTGTAGATCAAGTTTTGGGTATCAATTAGGAACCGGTAAATGATAAGGCCCAGAATACAGATGAAGGTGGCGATGTAGTAGCGCATACTGTGAGCTTTGATGCGGTTATGTTGAATGGTGAAATTGGATAAAAAAATGGCGTGTTGCATACACCGGAGAGGCAGCAACAATTTTAGAAACTTGCTGTTGTATGAGCTTCTGTTGTTATTGGAAATTGAATCAATATTGAACATTTTACAGTCTTTGTCTAAAACTTGTACATGACTCAGTAAGTCCACTGGGAGTGAAATTTCAATCAAATTGAAAGGATTATAATTTTCATTAGGGTGATTGTTGTATTCCTTATTATTTTGATAAATATACTACTTACTCATTTTATTAAGGTATACCACCTCGTTTTCTTGGATTGATTAATTTAACCGAATAACAATTTTGTTTCAAATAAAAACCCTTTGAGATTTTATTTTCTGTCTAAATCCGTAACCATTGAGTCTGTCAATGAGAAAATATTATAGACACGTATGTAAAATTGAATTTCTGCTTAATGCCAAAATAATATGTACTTATGATATATATGTAAATAAATAAAATAAAATAAAATTATATAGCACATTCCTTATCGCACGCAAATAAGACCAACACAATAATGTAATTTGCAACTAAAGAAATCATTTTCAATGGAAAATTAACATCGATGTAAAATATACGGCAGATGTTTATTTTATCAAAATTCACTCGATGCAGGCGTTGAATATTCTTGCACAATCTCTTTTCAATCACTGGAAAGAGACAAAAATACACCTGAAGTTTAAGTTTTACCAAAAAATTATGGTGGAAGTGATAATGTATTACTTTTTTTTAATGAGGCGGCAAGTTAACAGGCCTATTATCTGATGGTAAGCGAACTGCATTACCAATTGTCATTCACAAAACCAGAGGAGTTACGAGTGCGTAGCTTATTTTTGGGAGTAAAAAATGTGAGGATGATTCTTTGGTGGCCGAATAGAAAGGATCAGGTGACCGGCGAATCACAAAATTGTAATTATCAATTATCACAATAGTTGTTTGACACCGCTTGCCTGTAACGCCGTGGCATATTAAAGCATGCCTATCCGATACTTCAATTACTATTGTGCTTTAAAATCATCAAAAAGCCGAAAGTAGTGTTTCGCCGTGTGAGTGAGGTTACCGGAGGCCCAATCCCTCTCCCTCTCCCCATCCCTTCCTTATCCTTAAATATCCGAAACCAAGCCTCAAAAGGCAATGCACTCTAAACTCCTTTGGTATTCTGGTTTTAAATGGAGGATACTTTTTTTGCTCACTATTTGGCGTCACTGTAATTTTTAATGTATTTTCGTCCAATAGGAAAACAGCTAATGCCCCATCATTGGCAGTCAAGTTATTGAAGCTATATTAATTATTGAACAAACCACACTCATGCTAGATTTACGCTATCTAGTGTGGAAAAGGCAGTATCTCTCATTAAAACATAAAAAAAAACATTCAACTTACCTGAGCACTTAGATTGCAAAATGAGTGCACACAAATTTTGTGCTTTATCTGTTGCATTATAGAATCGTTCAGAATACAAACTAAAGGTTATTTCGTATACTATGCCTTTTATCATAGTAATGCTAATAAAATCAAATACAACTGCGGTCACCGCCTGCAACATATTAAATTGTTTGAATGTAACTTTGTTAAAAACAGAAAAATAAGGCAAGGCTTGGTAATGGAATATCATTAACATTATACTGGGGCCCGAGTCTACTATTTTCAAAGTGTTGCCATTCCTACACGATTCCATTGTCATTTTGCTAAAAGTTCGTAATCTGTTAATTCAAAATGGCTGATCATTGGCGTTCGGTGATGTCGTAATAGAATTATAGTACGAGTTGTCTTGTAACGAATTATAAACAATAACTGCACATTAATATTCTAAAGACAAATCATTGAATAAAAGAACTGACATTTTTTTATTACTTTACCGCATTATATCAAATATTCATTTGTCATAATGTACGAGATTACCGTTCTAAAGTATTATTTCAATTGGTTGATCATTGGAAAGTCATAATGACGCTATCGTGTTGGTAGATTACCAAACTCGTCAAAATCAACAATTTTGAAACCAATGATCTACTATTCTGACACTATTGTAATAGCAGACTCGAGGCCCAGTCACAACAAAGCAGCTAAACACAGGCTAATTCAATTCCTTTTTTATTATTTGCAATGGATGGCTAAGCTATAATGCCACCTATTAATGAAGCTAGTCTACCCATAAGCAACCTATTCACTCGGGCCTTGAAGAAACGCAGGTTATTCTTGGTATCCCTTTGGAAAACATCGATCTATAACACGTCCTTGTCTTTCTTATGGGTAAGCTACGCTAGCTATTGCATTAAGTAACCTTTTCTCTGTGCCAGCCGTCGGATTTGGAATAGTATACGCATATTATAATACTTACCGGCATGACAAAATCACTGTTAAAGAATCTCCCCATATCGAGCAAGACTTGCCAGCTCATTAGGACTTGCATAAAGAAGCTGACAGTGTTAAATAAAATCTGGAAAGTAAATTATTACGTAATATTCTTTTACGTTAGATTTCTTATAAATACAGTATTTTCCTTACCATGTGTTGGAAACAGGCAACAAAAAGGTCATAACTTTTAAGAATATTCACATAAGCGTTGAACATATTGCGGGAAAAAAACTGAAGTTGATCGTTGTCGACTTTTGCCATATTTCGTACTTGAACATTCCATAAATCAACTTGATTGGTCAATAGCTTAATAAGTCTAATGGCATAAATATTATTTATATCGAAACATATAACTCTAAGAGTATAATAGAAGAAATGAAGGCGAACGGTGCTCAGGGAGCCTAAACAAAATAATGAGTATGCATGAACTGCACAGAAGATTATTACACTGATCCAATTATAAATAATGTAACATTTGAATTGGGATTTGTCATTAATCAAACTGTGAACTTTTTGAATGGTCATAATGAATTCCAAAAATCTCTTCATCTGCAAAACGTTAGCTATAAAGTTAATTATCAAGCCTGCACACAATAAGATGAACTCTAAAACAACATACACTAAATAGGAATTCAAGCGTTTCACATGCATTTTTCGATAGAGATTAAAAATACGATAATTTAAAATAGAAATTGTAAGTATAACAGCACTTAGATAGATTAAATGTGTACTGAGCCTGTTTGGTCTCATGAAGTTGTTCTTGATTTGATATTTCGGACTGAATGAAAGTCTTTGGAGTAAACTTAAAGGTAAAAGCATTGCCTGAATGTCTTTATCAACGTAATTGTGGATAGGAAATAGAATGCGGTAGGATTTTGACTTCATATTAATACGAGACACAAGGCTAAAAGAAACAGTTATAATTTTGTTTATAAAGAACGTTAATGTGAAATGGGAGAGATAGCTCTAGAATCATATTATGAGTAAGCTACACAATATTGGAATCTATTGATCCATCTAATCATCATTATATGTTTTTAATCGCTTAGCGTTTGACAGGTAAATTATAAGGCATCATGTTATATTGAAGTCGATTACTAAATTGGTTCTATATAATTGTACTTAGATGCGTCCTCTTTAAAAATCAGCTTGAATACATATGTTACAAAGAATTGTATGAACAAACAAAAATCTTAAAATTGTTTGAATCTATTAATTTATTACTTGTTTCTTTGCGTCATTGTTTCCCTCAATTACATTGTTTTCATTATATTGTTTCAAAAAATTAGAAGGTATTTTTACTTGCAGTTCGGAGTACAAGAATGTACTCCGGTCTAGTTAAATGTGAGAGAGCCATGCGTCATTACAACCAGAATGATAACATCACAGCGGCGTTGTGTTTCGTCGTGTGTGTGAGGTTACCGGAGGGCCCTTCCCCCAATATTTTCAAATATCTAAATACCCATAATTCCTTATCCCTAAACCCACGCTAACGCTTTGCCTGATTGCGTATCATCAGGCAGCCAGTTTTCCATCGCATCACTCCAAAAATAGTCATATAAGTATATCAAATTACTCCATTTAAGTTTCACTGGAGAGCAAATTGTAGAATTACTAGAGCATAATTTCCAACTATAGCAATTAATCTCAATGCGAATGAAGCATCGATGTAGAACATTCCACAGACGTTCAACTTGGTGTAGGAAGCTCGATGCAGACGTTGAACATTTTTACATAACTCCTTTCCTGCATCTGAAACATTAAATTTAGGTACATGTACTACACTTTTATTGCTGTTTCTTTTCCATTTTAAAAAAAGACTAGCCTTTGTGAAAAGACTCACTAGCTGGCCGATTTTTGTTGGTCGTAGTATTGCCATAATTATAATCAAAAAGAATTTATCAATTACAATCAGTATTTCCGAGATTAGGACGTTCAAAAGAGCAAACAAACCTTTTAGCTTTATACATATTTAGCATAGCCCGTCAGAAAAAAGACAAACGAACGAGATATATTTTGAAAAGTTGAATGCGTAACATTTTCCAAGCCGCGGACACTCACAAATATAAGTACCGGTGTGGCTCAAAACTGAGTTTTGAATTATTGATGTGCACCGACTTAATTTATTTTAATACAACATGTCAACAAAGCATAATTACCTGAAGAATTTGATAGCAAAATATATACGCAGGTGTTCTGAATTTCGCCCATAGCTTTGTACAATTTCTCGCAGTAGAAACTTAGAACAATTATAACAAGAAAGGTCTTCATCACCCATAGATTCAAGAATATGATCATGAGTAATGCTTTAACCTATGAAATAAAAATATGAAATCAGATATTGGTGCACGAAAAAAAATCTGGCTCCAATATTGGAAACAGTAGGTATGTAACCTGTAAGAGGCGTAACATTAGTCGAAGTTGTCCATTTGTGTTTACATGGCTGATCTAGAACGTATATACTTATTAGTGCAATAACTTAAAAACTCCTTTTAAGAAATCTGATATGATTGAAACTGAAAGTATTTCCAGAAAATAATACTATATAATTAACTTTATGGTACTCACGTATCCAATAAGATTTTCATGAAACAAATGTATCCTCAGAGTCTCTAGTGATAGTTGCAATTTCAGCAAGATATTGTAAATTAATTCAACGACGTTGAACGCAATCTGAAAAAAAAAACTGATATTAATAATAATAATTCCGATTCCTTGTTCATTGAGGTACTAACCAGAGCACTAAAAGATATGAAGTGTGGGGGAGCCCTGTTTTAACACGAATGGGTGGGCTCGACCGGAGCGACCATCAGGTTATCGGCCTGCTTGTTTACCAGGGTATAACACAAAAAAGGTACAAACCATTATCTGGAAGGTAGACTTGTAGATGTTGTAACATTCCAAAATCCTCACATACGCTTGAAACATTGTTTTACAGTATGCCGAGTCACTAGTTTGCACTAAATATCTTGCTTGGTTATTCCATAATTCAACCTCAGTAATTAGCAACTTCAAGACACTCGATGCGTATATAACATTAATTTCAAAGCATAAAATGGTAAACTGTCTTATGAAAGTGTCTACGGAAAATGTTAATAAAAACCGGCCAAGTGCGAGTCGGGCTCGCGCACAAAGGGTTCCGTAGCATCGTTTTCAGTGTAAGCACAATAACTTAACCAAAATTACAGTTAAATCAACCTATCTCAAAAACTATAAGAGATACTTTGATCAAACCAAAAATCGTTGAAAGAGTTAATTAGCATGCATCACCTCTATTTTTTTTAGAATTTTATACCCCGTAGTTATAAAAATAGAGGGGGGGGGGACATACTTTTTACGACTTTGAGAGCTGATATCTCAAAAACCGTTCACTTTAAGAAAAATGTTTTTTAGAAAACTTTATATCATTTTAAAAGACCTTTCCATTGATACCCCACACGGGTATGTACATCGAAAAAAAAATTTTCATCCCTCAGTTACATGTATGGGGGGCCCCACCCCCAATTCTTTTTTTTACTATTTAGTGTCATAATTTTGTAGCGGTTCATACAACACATATTCCCATCAAATTTCATCACTGTAGTACTTATAGTTTCCGAGTAAATCGGCTGTGACAGACGGACAGACGGACAGACGGACAGACGGACATGACGAAACTATAAGGGTTCCGTTTTTGCCATTTTGGCTACGGAACCCTAAAAAATGGGCAACCGTCATACAGATGACGTAGAAAACAAAGTCAGAGACGACACTTATCCAATTCCAAATAAACAAATGTTTGGAACAGTTATTTTTGCCAAAGAATCTGTAAATGGCTTGTAGCTTTAAGATGAAAGTAATGTTCCTCTTAGCATGCATAACATTGGTGATGTAATACATGAATAAGCCAGTTCCATACAAGAACAGGTTGCAGTAACAATTCACGTAAGCCGTCAGGTGATGAAATTGTTTGGTACCCTCCAAATGTAGCACATAGATATCGTATACGAAGAGAGAAATGCTGAAAAAAACGGCAAATAAAGACACGATATCAGTCGTTAAACTATTTGGAAGAATGATATTATTTTTGACGCGAAACTTTGGGTAAAGCAATATTTTGTGGATCAAGTTTAATGGTAAAAGAATTGACTGCAAATCCTCGTCAAGCTTATTATCCAAGGGATTTGTTCCCACACATATGTTTAGATTGTTTAGACGCAAATTTTGTGCCGACGACATTTCTGATGAGTAAAGCAGACATAATAAACAGTCTATATTAGAAATTAATCAAAGTCATACGCGATAATAAAGTAATTGGATTTTCAAATTCAAATTATTACCTACCAATAAATTTGTGTGTGCACTCAATTACTGAAATTGATGAAAGTAGGTACCTATACAATTTGTGTAAATGGAGCCTTAAACAAAGGTGTGACCTTCACGAGGACTTTACTAATTTGTATAACGTAATATGCAATGGTGTGAATATGATACGTTTTTTTTAAATAATATTGGTAGTCAAGAACTTTAGTTCGATCACTAAGTCACGAAGGAGTTTTTTTTGTGAGGGGAAAATCATCAAATGGCTCATCACGCCCAGGGTCTGGCGGTAGGGAGTGTCAGACTCTTACTGACTAAAAACTCCACCGTCCCTTCTTCTACCCCTGGCCGAGGCCGCGGTGCCTCATTGCGCTTACCCCGAAAACATCCCCGGCTGAACACTCGTAATTGGCTCTTTGAGGCGCGCGCGGAACGCTACGCGCCTTGCGCTCGGATCTGGATCTGTTCAGGCGGCGAAGGCACCATTACTCGCCGTCCGCAAATCCGGGCTTATGGTGGCCGGAGATCGTCTCTCGACACGAACGAGTGTGCGTTTACGAAATAAAAAATAAATGTTACTATTGAACATTTTTATTTATAATTTTTACAATTAAATCGCGAAATTATTACAAATAATAAATAATGGAGGACTAAAATCTTTATAGAAAAGCAAATTGAAGAATCATAATGACATTGTTTGTGACAAAAGCGATTAATTTCAATGAGAATGAAGCATCGATGTAGAACATGCCACAGACGTTCATCTTGGTGTATGAAGATCGATGCAAGCGCTGAATATTTTTGCACACCTTTTTCTCTGCATCTGTAATGTAAAAATAACAAAGCCCAAAATAAATAAGTGTGGGAATGCCAAGCTTCGGCCCATTCGTGAATGGGTCGGCTTGGCCGGAGTGATACCACGGCCCCACAGAAAACCAGGGTGAACAACTAAAGCGTTGTGTTTAGCCGTGTGAGTGAGGTTACCAGAGGCTTAATCCTTTCCCTCCCTAATCCTCGTAACTCCTCTGTTGCTGCGGGTGTCCATGGGTGGCACTGATTGCTTACCAGCAGGATATCCGTCAGCTCGTTTGCCGACATAAAAAAATAACACCAAATTATAAGTTTTTTATTTTATTTTTAACTATATAAGAATAAGCCGGTTCGATCGAAGATACTGTCATTGGCTACACAGAAATCAGATTAAAACTATCCTAGCATTTAAATCTTTATTTTATTAGAAGGGCTTTTTTAGTTGTATTACACCACGTGTGTGACTCAACGGGTACCAGTCTCCAAAAGACAACAACGCATTATTGTCTATAGTAGTAAGTGCCTATAAACGGTGCTGGTAGCTCATTGCCAAAAAAACATTTTTATTATTTTTTTATTATATTAGATATTGCCAATAAAATCAAGTTGATATTACCCGAACAGTTTGATTTCAGAATGATAACACAAGTGTTTTGAATTCGATCCATTGATTTGTAAAACTCTTCGCAGGACAAACTTAGAACGATTTCAGTAAGAAGACTCTTCATCGCCCATAGACATATGAAAAGAATCATGCAATACACTTGAGCCTGTCAAACGAAAAACATTAAATTAAGTAGATAGTTATTTTTGTACTCATTTAAAACAGAGCCGTGCATTGAAAAACTCTTGTCAGGATGTGATGAAGAGACGGTGGTATTTCGTAGAAAAATCTCTCTTTCTCTTGTTTCGTAACTGTCTTTAAGCTTCAGCATTCAGGAATTTAGCACCGAGCCCCAAACAGACAACAAACGTTGGGTCTTGTTTAAAGAATTTTTTTTTTCATTGTATTTATTCCAAAAGCGGCATATAAAATTGCTGGTTCCAAAGCAATACTCACTTTTGATTTGAGGTTTTCATAAAGAAAGGTCGTTTTCAAACCATCAAGTGCAATTTGCAGTTTGAACAATATATAAAAAAATAAAACCACGTTATGAAACACAATCTGAAATTGGAGCATAAAAATGAGTTAGTATCAACTGCTTAAACACGAATTTTTGCTAAAGTGGGTGTACGTACCATTACTTGGAAAGAAGATTTGTAAATGCTGTAACATTCTAAAATCCTTGTATAAGCTTGAAACATTTATTTATTTATTTATTTATTTAAACTTTATGCAACAAAACATTACATAGGCGGACTTAATGCCGTAGGCATTCTCACCAGTCAACCTTAGGGTGATGCAGAGAGAGTATGGTAGGTGCAACAAGAAGAGAACTTTGAGACGATAAAAAGATTTAAAAATAATAAGAACACTAAAATAAATATATATATATGTAGAATATTATAATAATACTGGTATATGGTGGAAGATAAATAAAAAAAAAATACTCAATACATACTCTATATACTTACATAACTAGTATACATATATATATATATATATATATTTATATATATATGAATAATATTATACACAGTGAATACATAACATAAGAGTTTTATGATGATGGTTCTAACAACAGTCCATTCAAAATGTGCTTACGCAATTCAGCCTTAAACGATTGCTTACTGGTCGCCTTCCTGATTTCCAAGGGCAACCCATTCCACAGGAGAATGGATTGAATGTAAAAGGATGAGTGGATAGTATCAGAGCTATGAGAGGGACAATGAAGAAGTAGGTTATGAGAAGAGCGAAGATTTTTGGAATGACCAGAGTAGCGGTAACAAAAGTAGGAGGTTAAATAAGAAGGCGAAGTTGGAGAGTTGAGAAGTGAAAAAAGAGTTGTCAAAGCGCGAAATGCTCTTCTTTGGCGAATTGGCATCCATTTCAACTCGGACCTGTACTCAGAAACATGATCGTACTTCCTCAGGTTAAAGACGAACCTTATGCAGTTATTGATGAGACGATCAAGTTTATCGAGCAAATCCGAGCCGAGATCATAGTAACACACGTCACCATAGTCGATTATAGGAAAGATTAAAGACTGCACAAGCATTGCCTTCGTCCTAGGTGGTAGAAAATTCCTTAGTCGATTTAGACAGCGCAACGTCCCCATCACCCTCTGGCTAACACTTGAGACCTGAACCTGCCAGCTCAGCGTAGCATCTAGATGCAAGCCCAGGTCCTTAACTGAAGGACTAAAAGGGACGACGCTTCCATCCAATGTTACCGAAGGAATACTTTCGATCTTCACTCTGCTCATCATTCGAGGACTGCCGATAATGGCCTGACATTTGGCAGAATTGACTGATATGCCAAATTGACTAGACCAACAACTGATGGTTGTGAGATCATTATTCAGCTTATCGATGGCTTCGTGCAGATCTTCCGGCCGAGCCTGAGTGTATATCTGCAGATCATCGGCATACAGATGATACGAACACTGAAGATTAAATGTGATAAAATTAATAAAAAGAGAAAATAACAGTGGAGAAAGAATACCGCCTTGTGGAACACCAGCTTTAAGCTCGCGCCAATCTGACACAGTCTCGTCAACGCGAACCGCCTGCCAGCGCCCCCGAAGATAAGATGAAAACCACTCCAGTGCCCCAGGCGAAACCATAAGATGGGAAAGAATGGATTCGAGGATATCGTGGCTGACGGCATTAAAGGCATTAGAAAAGTCAATTAACACCAAGGTAGTAACTTTTGTGTCTTGAATCCCTTCTCTAATGTCGCCAGTCACTTTGAGAAGTGCTGAAGCGGTGCTGTGCCCCGGTCTGAATCCGGACTGTAAAGGACTTACAAGGTTATGCCGGTGGACGAAACATGACAGTTGCCTGTGCACGCACGCCTCTAACACTTTGGAAAGAAAGGGGAGGATAGAGATAGGCCTAAAATGGGAGGGAAGGGTCGGGTTTGTGATTTTTGGAAGGGGACGGACGTAAGCATAACGCCACAGGGAAGGAAACTGTCCTGAGTATAAGGAAAAATTAATGATGTGGGTAATGGATGGCAAGATATACTCAAGGATAGGGATAACCATACTACGACTAATTTCATCATAGCCAGTGGCCTTCGATTTTATGGATAGGATGGTTTTATTGATATCGCCCGCAGACACTGGAGAGAATTTGAAGGTGTCCGAACACGGATGAGGAAGGTTTTTAATAAAGTCTACCGTTTGCCGAATGGTTTGACGATCCAAAAGGGCAGCGGTTGTGAAATGTTGATTTATATCATTCAAACCAATCGTCTTAGGTAGCTCTATATGATTTGATTTGCCGATACCTATTGTTCCAAGGAACTTCCAGGTATCAGCCGCAGAACTGGTTGATATATTATCAAGAATATGTCGGCGTTTAGCATTATGTATCATCTGGTTACATCGATTTCTGGCTGACTTAAAGAGAACCCAATTCTCCTCCGACCTATCACGTCTGTACCTCCGAAAGGCGCGATTCCTCCGTCTCATCGCCATACGTACCCCCCTCGACATCCATGGAGCCGGTGGACGTTTAACTTTAACACTTTTGATTGGTGCATGAATGTCGTAGAGGTTTTTGATCATGCGATTTAGAGTGGCAACCTTATCGTCAATAGTGGGAGAATCGGATACCTCTGCTTCCCACTCAAGCTCGGAAGTGTCTTTACGCAGCTTGTCCAAATCTATCCCCGCAAAACAACGCATGCGCAGTACTTTAGGAACAGGTTTAGGAGGCTTTATGTGGTAGGATACATAAATCAGGTCGTGAAGGGAGAAACAAGGAGCAGGACATTGACCATGAGAGGATACGTGAGATGGACTAGAGGTGAGGATTAAATCGAGCAAAGTGTCTTCACCTGCAATATTGCAGTGGGTTGATAGGAGAGGTGAGACGTGAAGACTGGCTGACTCGATGATATGAAGAAGTTTGCGGGAACGGGGGGAGGACTGTAACAGGTTTGTATTAAAATCGCCCATGATGACGTGATGCTCACACACAGATCCAATGGATTCCAACGCCAGCTCTAGATCAGAGAAGTAGTCCGTCATTGGTGGGCAATACACAACACCGATGAGAACCTTGACTCCCGTTATGCTGACTTCAAGGAAGATGAATTCAGCAGACGAACAATAGTTAGAGGGAGAAGTTGCAAGAATTTTATAGGGGAAGTGACTTCGAAGATAGATGGCAACACCACCACCCCCCCTTCCGGTCCTATCATTTCTGATAAGAATAAATCCGGGAAGAGAGTAACTAGTGGAAGGAAGGTGCGGTTTGAGCCAGCTCTCAGAAACCAGGACTGCATGTACATTAATATTGTTTATTACAATATTGTTTATTACATTAATATTGTTTTCTCTTGCAGAAGATTGCATTAGTATTCAAATCAGTTTGTACTAAACGTTGTGCCTGGTCATTCCACAAATGAACCTCAATAGTTAGCAATCTTAACAGCCTCGTTGCATAAATAATGTTAAACTCAAAACAAATGATGGTAATTGTTTTATGAGAGTGATTAAGGGATAGTCGTAGATATTGTAAGCAACCACCAAACACGCGATGTACTGGATTATATATGTGGTGACAATTATCCAATTTATAACAATAACTCGTTTCAAATTATACTTTTGTCCAACAAAACGATGAATAGCTTGTAATTTTATGATAAAAATGACGTTTTTGTGCATTTGCAATATATTGATCCAATAGAAAGTAACAAAACCAGCACCATACACAAAGAATTCGCAGCAACAATTTATAAATGATGACTTGACGGAGGTGTTTCTTAAATACAACAAGTAAACGTCCCAAGCTAAGATAAAAATTCCCGACAATGTGGCGATAAAAGACCAAATTTTGATCACTGCGTTATTTGGAAGGATTGCATTATTTTTAATGCGAAAGTTTGGGAAAAACCAAATCTTTTGAACAAGATTTAATGGCAAAATCGTCGCCAAAAAATCTTTTTCCAGTGCATTGTCCAGAAAAACATTGATCTGATCGTTTCTTTTATTCCTAACATAAACATTTTGTAGGTACATTTCAAGTAAAGAACTTTTAAGGAAATAAGTCGCCTTCGCTGGGAACATGTAAATGTCAATATCATTAAAATTAAAAAACATGAATGATTGTACATAGTTCTTTGTGATAAGAAAGGAAATGCTTTTATGTCCTATAAATACATGATCGATTTGATAAGTACTCACTAAATTTGGTGACGTGGAATATTACGAATTTAGTTCTAGGATAGTTAAAAGTGGACTGGTTTAATAATTTGAGTAGGATCATAATGACGATAATACCGTACTTACTATGGTTTTATAAAAATGATCATTGATGACTCAATACTAATGCTGTTCACGCCGTCAGTTCATTTTTTTATTCTCAACCTTTAAATCTCCTATAATTGAGTCTCTTACAATCCACAAAAGGCCGGCAACAACTCGCGATTCTTTTGGTATTGCGAGTTCTTTGGGCTACGCTAATTGCTTGCGATAAGGTGATCTCTGCTCGATTGCCGGCGGATCCCATAAAAAAGTTATATGTTCTTTCTAATATGCATAGTTTAGATACCACCGACATTCAGTGACTGCTAATCAAGAAAATATAATTTACAACTTCTAAATTGAGTTTATAAAGCGCAATCCGCTTTTACTATTTTCACCAAAACATCTCAAATCTTCGCCGCGTGAGAAGAAGACTTTGCTCAATATGCTGACACTTAATAAGCTGATAATGATGATATATATTTCATTTTATTACGGGACTGACTTGGGATTGACACTTGGGTCTCATTATCGGAAAAACTAATTGTTGGTTGCACATTTATAATGATTTCAATAATTTAAAATCTTGAACGAGAATGCTAACTGAATTCATAAAAACTTTACACAGAGGTTGACTTACGGTCTTCCTGTTAATATTCTATGACTTTCTTGCACGATGATAGTTATTCATTGAATAAAGGATTAAACTAAATTTATACAAGACATTACTAATAAGCAATTGGTAAACGTTGAGTATCTTATTTAATTCTGCTGCAGATAAGCGTCCGGAACAACACAATATTATTAAAGAAGTATTTTAGCTTTCTGGTAGTATAAACTGTAACTGTGCTATGGTGTAGGTACTAATAATCTCGGCTAACTGCAGCGGTAATGTCGCATCTATAACAAACAGTCCATAAGCACTCATCTTCTTGAACGACGCTCTCTGCAGCCGTTGGATGTTTTTCAAAACTTTTTTTGGGGTTTCTGTAAATAGAAACAGCTCAATATGAGTCGCTTGGAGTGCAAGACAGCAGTTTTATATAAAATGTTGATGCAATAGAAAGTTAAGTAATGGAGCAGATGGAATAGGGTGGTTTTTATCCAGTAAGACTGTCAGACCAGTGAGGAAGAAGTAATTGGATGCTTAACCTCATCAGTCCCTTTATTTTCCTTTCTGTTTTTTTTTATATTTTAATCTCTAATGCAACGTGGGTGCATTATAATAATTGTATTTATGGTTAATTGTGAATATATAATATTGTTTTCGAAATCGCCAATCGTCTGTCCAGCTAAATGATGTTTTCAATTTAGTTATACTGTGTTTTATAAAATATAGTTACCAATTTGTATTTGAAATACCTTACCTTGCCATTTTTTTGAATTCATAAACCTAATATTGACTGTTTGTGATTCATTCAGAGCTTTATACAGTTGTTCACATTCATTGCAGAGTGAGGACAGTAAAAATATACTTCTCAAGATCCACATGAAATTGGCTATGAAATACGAAGAAGTCTGTAAACAAAAATATTTATTCTAATTTAAAAAATCAATGACCGTTTGGTGACTGTTCCGCCTAATAATAACCAATAACGCAGCGTGATATGAAACGCTCTAGACTGTAAGTGACCAATCCATACGGGCCATGACGATAAAATATTCACATTTTTCTAGCAAATTTTTTGCTGCGAAAACAGTGTAAATAAAGCTGACTGGTCTGTCAGAAGCAGATTATAATAATGCAGACAGTTATAGGAACATACCAACTTTCGGCTTTCTGTCTCTTTATATTACTGATTGATTTCGATACTTACGCATACCTCATACGCTCCAGCTGTTTGACCCGTTTGTATACCAATGGAGACGGTCATCAAACTAAAAGATGCGATGTACATGGTGTAAAATGTCAACTGAAAATCAAAATTCCTTTTCAAATATTGTAAATTTATTAAAAATAATTGTTTTACCATCACCATCATCATTATCATCATCGCCATCATCATCATCGTCATTATTAGTCGGAAACCATCCACGTCAGCCGTGGCCAAGTGCCAAGGTCTTTCTTAATTTTCCACTTGGACGACCACTAGAATCCATTGTCTTTTTGCGACTGACAATGTTGTCGGTCTACCTAGCGAAAGGCCTGCCAACAGCTACGTTTGCCATTAATCGGTCCTTCGCGCAATATGAAGTGCCCATGGTCACTTTAGATCTACTGATTTTACAAGCTATGTTAGTAACTTGCTGAGCGACTCTAGAGCGCCTAGAGTATCTAGAATGTCTTACGTTAATCAACTGCGAAAAGCTGTACTTGTTTCAAGACACAAAGGACTCTTATTACCAAGAGCGGGCAAATTTGATTGCTTCAAAACGTCACCGTGAAGCGTATGTAACAACAGCGTTCCGTTGGAACTTGGAACTAAAAGAGCTTTTCTTAGTTAGTTCATCTGAATGTTCAATAAATTTACTATGTCTCATGATAGTTCTTATACAAAAACAGTTTTATGGCACGCATTACAATAAGTAATCATTATTAGTTGATGAATGATCTTACGATTAACCGAAACGCCTTTTCACTTAATTCGTATGCTTCCAGTACATTTGAGTACACTTTGAACATTTCTTTCCAACGACGTTCACTCAGTAAATCTTCGTTGGTTAGTTTTTGGACTTTGTTCATCCACACATTCAGAATTATTCTTAATAATTTTATTATGACAATAACGTATACAATATTAATTTCAAACAAAACATTAGGATAAGTTACCAAAGATGTAACTATATTTTCTAATATAACAGTTAAATCAATTTTGTATTTAAACTTTTCTAAAAAGTAGACAAAATTTAGAACGATTACGGTGACCCAATTGAAAATTAGCAAGCTTTTCAGATCTTTTCTTTTAATATCGAGAATTCTGTGTGCATGCTGTATTTTCAATATAATTAAAACGTTGTTATTCAAGTGAATAATATTAGCGGCAACGTGGATACTATACACGAGAAAGCAAGAGAAGCATTGGTACAAAATACGAAGAAATAGAGTCAAAATTGCGAAATCCCAAAAAAACAAAGCCACTACAAACAGAAGGGCTAAAATCAGAAAACTAATATAAAGAAACGTGCAGAATAATGAGCAAAAATTATAACAACAACTGTTTGAAGTTATGTAGTCGTCCTTTATAGAATACTTTGCACAGAGAAAAATGTTTTGCACCAAATTCAATGGTCTTAACACTGATTGTAAGTCTTCATCTACTCTATTGTCCAGCAGTATTTCTTTGTTTGGTTGCCGTGTTACTTCTTTTACTATCATCGTCCTTTTAAATTTCGATTTCAAATTAATTTCTGAATTTGTCTTTTACACACAACTTAGGTCAGTTTGGTTTTTATTGTTGAACTCAGACCTCGAGCGTTGTAAACATACCAATATGATTAAATTAATTTTTATTGCGACAAAGTAATTGAAAAGTTCATTAGATTCGAACATTTCCGTAATAACTATCTATTATTAAAGAAAATTAAACATTTTTGTAATTGAATTGCTATCTATATTGTAGACAAATTAATATGCTTTTTTATGAGTACATAATTTCTTTTTTTACGTAGACGGAGCGGTGGTTATGGGATTAACATAAGAGATATAGTTTTGAGGCATTAAAAGCTGTAACTGCGCTATAGTGTATGTGCTAATGATCCCAGCTAACTGTAGCGGTAGTGTTGCGTCTACCACAAACAGTCCATAAGCACTCATCTTCTTGAACGATGCTCTTTGCAAACGTTGGATGTTTTTCAAAACCACTTTTTGAGTATCTGTAAATGAAATGCTATGAATATTATTGAAGTTTATTCTTAAATATTTTAATTAATTTTAATTAATTGCCAATAGTGTTCAATATTATAGCAGAATGGTAAATTTGAATAAAACTATTTTAATTTTCAGAGACCATATTGAGCGCATGGTGCATGCCATTATTTGAAATGAAAATTAAATGTGTTCTTCAAACATTATTGATAATTTCTCCGGTAAAATATACAGGGTGTAAAAAGACACTTAACGAAGCCGAAAGCTACGTATTCTACCCATTATTTGGATCATTTTTTTCTTTAAGACCATAGCTGGGACTCCACGGGTTCTCGAGATATTGAAGGTCAAAGATGCATTTTTTTTGCGCAATCGAAATCTAAGTATTATTACAAAACTTTTTTCCAAACCTACATTACCTGAATTTTCGATTTTTCTAAATAAATTACGCATTTGAAGTTACGAACAGCAATGTACGTAATAAATAAATGCAACCCGCACAAAAAACATCGTGCATCTCAGTAGGATTTTTATTTTACAGAATTGTTTTGTTGTTGGGAAGTAAAACGTCGACCTACGTACTTATCACAGCGTTTTAATGCTAAGCTGTGAACCTACGCACACAATGACACGAAGCCCGTTTGCTTTACATTGCGCGCAATTTTTTTTTTTTTTTTTTGATACCTAAAAATAACAGTCGTTTCCCAGTGATAATTTTAGCGTAAAACTACTTAGTTAGAACTGCAGTATGCGTAGTTAACGGCTTCGTTAAGTGTCTTTTTACACCCTGTATATTTTACCTTATCTTCCCACTGCTTAGCCTTACCTTGCCACTCTGTTGTCTTCATAAGCAAGATATTAACAGTTTGTGTTTCGTTTAAATCTGCATATAACTTTTCACATTTATTGCAAAGAAGTGATAATACACCGAGGTTTCTTGAAAGCCACAAAACTTTGGTAATAAAGTATGGCTGAAACTGGAAATACAAAAGAAAAATATTATATACTAGCTACTGCCGCGCAGTTTCACCCGCTACTCATAGGTGATGTAGCTATCTATCTAGAATTTTAGAAATCCGACCAGCGGTTCTAACGATTACCCCCTACATACAAACTTACTTTTAACTCTTTATAATATTAGATAGATATTAGTATAGATAGTCGGCGACAGGTAGTCCATGGGTAGACATCGAATTATCACCAATAAACGTGCCGCGGTCATTCGGTGGACCCTCCGTGGTCAACGAGAACGCCGAGAGGTCAACGAATGGATACTGCTTGCTCCACGAATTTTTTGAGTAGTTTGTTTGTACTTGGCACTAGGGCAGCGTCTGGTCTAGGAGGGGCTCGCGCGTTACCAACGCCCCGTCAACGCAAGGCGAGCATTCGAGCTACGACTTGTCACCGAGTTGTCCATCCATCGTCCGCGCGTGAATCGCTAAAACTGACTGTGACCGTCTGCTGACTTTACAAAGTTGGTGTAATGAACATACCTACGAGATCTTATAAAATATAGTAGCCGCATAAGACCAGTGGAGCCAGGTGGCTCTCATAAGCTGTGACCTTTAGTCTACGTTTACAAAAGCGTGACGTGAGTGCCATCTATAACTTAGATCGTCGCTAACCACTCAGAGAAAATGTTAAAGAAATCAATATTACAACCGTATCATGTCGAATCAATTTTGAAAATTTAGTTTGGCTAAAGTTTTCCAAGTCTTTCATAGCAATTTGTTTAAATGTAATCAAACAAAATCCTAGGGGAAAATGCTTAGGAGCTAGCTGGTCCTAGTCCACAGAAATATTTATGGAAGTTGTTAATGATCAGAGGGATTTTAAATATGAAATGACACACCATGAAATAAGAATTAATCATAATATAATTTACTATACTTACGAACACCTTCGTTCCATAATATCTTGTGGCGTGAACACAAATGGAAACCGTTATTAGACTGTTACATGCCACGTATATTGTGTACAATGTCAACTGCAAATTGAAAGTTTCTGGTGATTAATAAGCAATGTATTACTTACGGCAAACATGAAACATTGAAGGTCTTACAAATAGCTGGAACGTCTTTTGAAACTGTTCATAAGCTTCGATTATATTCGAGTACACTTTAAACATTTCGTCCCAATGATATTCTCTGGGTGAAGAAACCCTCGTCAACTTCTTCGCTTTCTCAATCCAGACTTGTAATGCTTTCCTCAGTAATATTATTACAACTGTAGCATACACAATGAGTATTTCATACAAAACATTAGGGTAATTTACAACACAGTTTACTATATCAGTCCAATCCAGTGTGAATTTGCTTTTTTCCAAAATATATAGAACATTAAAAGTCACCACACTGACCCAGTTGAGGATCTGAATAATTTTAAGATATTGTCTTTTGATTTTAAGGATTCTAAACGCAAACTGAATTTTCAAGATAACCAATACATTGGTGTTGCTATGAACGACATTGGAAAAGATATGCATCAACATTACAAAAGCACAAGCGACTATTTGACAAGACATTCTTAAAGATAAACTTAACCAGATATTATTCCAAGAAAGTGTTATAATAATTATCAAAAGAAGAAGTAGTAGAACAAAGATGTAAAAACTAATACAAAACAATGAACAACAATTGTAACAAGCACTTTTCGGAGTTATGAAGTTGTCTCTGATAGAATACTTAGCGCAGAGGAAAACATTTTGCATCAGGTCCAGCGGTCTTAGCACTGATTGCAAGTCTTTATCTAACATATTATCAAGTAGTACTTCTTTCTGTTGATGCCTTGGTATATTTTTGACGGTCACTTTACGTAATTTTGACTTAATATTCATTTTGGAGTTCGGTCTTGTAAAACTGCACGTCTTATTGAGCCAGAGAGCTTGCAAATAGATAGAAATATGCATGCAACCATGCATGCAAGGAAAGATGGACTGTATCCGATTCCAACTGCGTTCCCAAAAACCACACACGTTTAGTCAGATTGGATTAAAATCGATACGACCAAAATATGTTCAAAGTTACTCTTGATTAATTTATTTTATTGTAATATGATAAATAAATTAATCGATTAATTGGAAATGAGCCTAAAATACACAATTCGGAAGTCAATTGTAAATTTAATTTATTAATGTATTTCTTATCCATTATAACTGTATACAAATGCTCTTATCGGATTGCTTATAAGTACTGACAATGTCAACATCAA